TAGTTAGCGCCTGATAAGGCAGCTCCTGTGAATTCCTCAAAATTGAATTGATTAATGTAAATGCTAATTGTATTAATTGTATAAGATGTACTGTAAAGCGCTTTAGAGTGGCTTATATATAAGCTAGATAGAGCGCTATATCAAATGCTGTATATTATTATTAACACACACTGGAAGCATTGCGTGTCCTGATTCTGAGCACTGATGAGAACTTTGTGCAAATACTCTCAATGTTGTCGATCAAAAATAATTCTTTATTTTAGACTGGAAAGTCAGTTTGCAATTATTTTTTTACTCTACACAGACGTATACACTTTATATTCTCTGCTCTGCAGTCACATACTGTGGCACCGCTACGGTCCAAAAAAACCCGGAAATGTATCATTGAAAAATGTTTACAAAATAATTTCAACGTTGGTATATGCTGTTTTTGAATGTCAATAAAATGTATGGCACCTTTTCAATATTACCGTATAATGACAAATTGACGTTATTGTGTCTTCCTTATGTTAAGTAAGAGACATATAAAGCCAGTAGTATATACGTCTCTGGTTAGGTAGACACTTCAATTAAAAAGCAAAATACCGACACACATTTGTTTTTACACAACTGTAGCAAATTCCCGGGTCCCTGTCCCTGAAACCACAGGTAGTAACCTTATGGTCTTTACCTTCGAAATAACAATAGCCGCAGGTAACAGGGGTGACCACTCGTTTAAACAATAATAAATGTAAGACCAGGTAAAAACAAAGACCAGAGGATAGTTCGGATGAATTCGCTATTGTTAAGGATGGTGCAATCAGTGCTGTTTGTGCAATATACTTTGTAAAAATGACTGTCAAGAGAAAGCAATAAAAAAATCTTTGGTTCAAGGCTGTTTTAAGGAGGGAATTACACAAGTTATTCAGATTTCAGAGTATGTTTTCATCACTCAGACAAATGAAAATGTGTAACTTGAGGGTACAGCACGGAATTAGATTATTTGAGTACAGCAATGAGTATGATTAAGCGTAGCAGGGTGCATAGAATGTATACATGTGTGTTGTGTTGTAAGATGTATAGATAAGATACATATAACTAACGCTCCGGCTTCAATATCATTCATATAAATGCTGATTATAATTATCAAATAATACCACTAAAGAGAATATCATAAGAATTATACCTGTTTGAGATATAAGTAGAGAAGGACGATTTTAAGAGAGAGGAAAACCATAATTACAGGGAATTCGCTTGCAGCATTTCAGTTGGATTTGTAAGATAATACAGGAATAATACTCTATGCAAACACATCACATTCACTTGTTTTATACATATGATGATATTCATATCCAATATTTTCCAAACACAAGTTTCATATTTCATCTCCTTTTGAACATTTGCGATCGCCTAGTTTAAATAAAAACAAACAATTACACGCACGTTATTTAGTTTGGGTTGTTTATTATTTTTCGACAAATTGATTAAATATTTTTTAAGCAACAGATTCAGAGTTTGAGACTAAAAAAATGAACTACCCACTAGACGTATCCATATGTCAATATTCACGAAAAATTCGGTTGTTCAAGACTTTTCCCGTAACTTCACCTTGAAATAATATTTTGGGAAAATATAGAAATTAAATTAAAAGATAAGTGAGAAACCACCATCACATATACTTTTAATCTTATGAATTCATAAAAAGGAATGTGTTTTTACGTCGTGTAGATCTAGTGATTAGATGTTAAATGTAATGTACTGTTGAGTTTCAAACGGATACCATTAGAAGTTTAATTCCATTTCAAAATGAATTATCAATATTCACGAAAAATTCGGGGGACAAATCATCATTCCAAAATATTTTGTTGGTGCTGACGGGGAAAATGTTGCCTATTAGTACATCTGCATCCGCCGCTGTGCAAATAACAAGCGAGCGCTGTATAGGTAAATACAGGTCAGAGTTAGGGTCAGAGACCGACACGCTTCCGCGAGCAAGTACATCTAAATCTAAGTCCGTTATTTGTCTGCTATGAACTGCGTTTTAGGAGCTTGTTTTACCAAACGGTCTGTATGCGTTTGAATTGAGTTTCCGTTGCGTTTCCGTTCCGTTTGCGTTGAGTTTTCGTTGCATTTTTTCCGTTTGCGTTTAAACGGACAAGAAAAACGGTTCAGGGTCTGTAAGTTATTTGTCAGGAATGTTACTTTAGTCATTCGTCTCCCTTTTATATCATTGTTTCAGTTAATTTTGTCATGCTATTATTAGGATTTACTTAAGTATCTAAATAACTGTTTAACATACAGTATTTAAATAGGTTAACATCTGAAAAGATCACCGAAGATAATGGGAATGAGAAATGTAGGTGTAAAAGCATGTCTTCTAAAATACACAACGCAAAGACACATTTTACAACACCTAGAAGCGACACTCATTGAGCAAATCCCCTCCTGTTACCCAAAGAAAGTGGTGTGGGGCAGCCGCATCCTGGAATCCAACATTCTCCCTTTACCTGTTATATATCCACCTAACATGTAACGTTATATCACGCATTGGGGTAAATACACTCTGTGCGATGAGTGTTTTGGAAGAATAATTGCATAAACAAAAACAACCAAGAAACAAACAAACGAAATATCACTTTATTTCTTTCTTTGGAATATATCCTTTTCAGTCATATGGAATTTTAAATAGGTTATTTTCCTGATAACGAAAGGTTCTGGTCAATTCCGCTATATATTATACCATACGTGTTACTATTCAGGTCCTTAGCCATGCCCATACTTCCGGTTTACGCTATCGATCGATGACATCGGTGACAGACATTCCGGTAAGTAATTAGAAAATACACATGCATGTAAGAGCAGCGAATGCATGTATACTTTTTTTTTTGATGATCTGCAGAAATTGAGTGAATGCGCCCAGAAATTAATCTGGGACGAGAGAGTTTTCTTTAGACACATGTACAGCACAGCGGTTTGTTTTCGGAATAGCACATGTACATTGCAATAATTTCGGTTAATAATACACGACCACACGAGGTCTGGGAATCCTCGATTTTTATAAGGTCTTGTCATGTATATAAACAATTACTACCTACATGGTCACTGCCTAGCACACACTGACAAAGCAAAATATGAAGGTGTCGAAATCCAACAAGATCTGAAATGGAATTCCCACATTAACATCATTACAAACAAAGCAAGTAAAACATTAGGCTTCATTCGGTGCAATTTAAAAGCAAACTCCCAAAAAAATAAAGAACAAGCATACAAATCTCTAGCTTGCCCATGCCATATTTCGAATATGCTTGCTCTGTGTGGTATCCTTACCAAAAAGGTGATATCAACAAACTTGGTATGGTACAGCGAAGAGCTGCAAGATTTGTCACTAACCGCTGTCATAACACCTCAAGCGTTAGTGACATGGTCCAACATCTTAACTGACCCAGCCTCGCTGATAGACGTAAGGACGGCGTCTTACTATGATGTATAAAATTTATTTGAAGCAGATATACTGACCTCATAAACTATGACGTAACATATTAGTTAGCAATAGCGACGTCTGCTAATTATGCGTACCCGCCATAGCGATATCACAGCAATAGAAATACATAATGACGGTCTCATGGTAAAGAGTACTATTGGTTTTGGATTCAGATTTACTATAAGTACCACATTTGTGTTATCTATGCATCAATTATTGGGAGAAAAAACCCCAAAAACTTCCTCTGTGTGGGGTGAACTGGGGGCCATTACATTACTCATCCGATACACTACTGATGTCACTACACATTATATAATTATTATTAATACTATTATTTCTACATCTGTAAGGATATATTTTCTGCTGTTATAATAAACATTGAAGTGTAGCAGAACTTGTCTGGATCGATTTCCATTGACCACACAGTGGCCCATTTGAATATGTAACTTTAAAATAAAAAACTCTGGAGGTCCTGGACTTGAATTTCAGTATAAGCGATATATTTTTAGATACTCAGTAAGCAAAAGTAGCTACACTAAACACTCTAGACAATTCTATTCAAATTCACGGGGATTTAAGGACATTCCAGTAGATGTTTTTTTAACAAGAAAACCAACAACACACAATCGTCTTCTGCCAAATGAAGTAAATATGTCTTAACAATTATGCCTCAATGTGCTAAAAGCAGTTAAAAACTGCAACACGTCTATACATTCAACAATTCTAGCACTGCTCAACAGCGTGATCCTTTACAGCTGAGTAGACTGGAACAAGCGGTGTAAAGTATCTTGCTCAAAGATGCAACACAGTGCCGTGAAGTGACTTGAACCCGCAACCCTTCGGTCACAAGCCTGGTGTCCTACCGCTTGACTACAGTGCCTCCACATATACATATATTCATGTTCATATTAGGCAGAAAACAGTTTTGACTCACTTTAAGCTGGGGTTCCCTTCCAAGTAGTCCATCATTTCCAAGGAGCAACATATAAGCCTAAGTTTTCATGACATTGGCGTGTTGTATAGGCACTTTTTATATGATTCAGACTCTAGTAGGGCAAAATTAAGTTTGTTAATGGTAACAATATAGCCTTGGGCTGATTATAGAAGGGTGAGGGACCTTATTTAAGTATGTGACATGTCAAGTTCACAAGATACACAAGTATTTTTATCCATGTTTGGTGAATGTAGGTAACATACTCAAAGAGATACATTCTGGAAATTTCTTGGTATAAAAGTAAACAAAGGGCAATAACTGTGTATGTATTGAGGCATGAAACCCTTTTTTAAGTGTGGGCTACTCTGCTTTCATAAGCAGGATTTTCACATATCTCAGAGTATCCAGTTGGATTTTCCAATAAAATAAAAATACACTCAGCATCATATCAAATGGATTCCGACTCGGCTAATAGAAAATGCCACAACCAAGTACCCCTTACTAGGGGAAGTAAGAGAGTGACTGTAGTGGTTTGTCCTAAACAATGCATATTTTAGCACTAGAAAACCAGATATTGATTTTTGGAACTTTTTCCACTACAGACCGAGAAACGGCATATGCCGTGCGTAGCACTGACTACCCGACATGGAATTTTATTTGTGTCTTCTGGTTATTTGTAAAACTTGAACTTTTTTATGTTGAAATATTTACTGGACACTCAACATTAGAGGTGAGATAAAATCCAAGATGGCGGACCATGTTGAAATTATGTGAACAGGGGGGTTGCTCGCAATTAAGCCCCCCCCCCCCACTTTTGGCCCATCTTTTTTCTCAGGAGGGGGGGGGGTGTTATTGCCGGTAAAGTACGGTATCACACATTTTTACATTTTTGAAGAAAATAAAAAAACAAAAATGTTTTTATTTCACTTTTACTGTAAAAAATTTCATCTGATTCCCCTAACTGTCATGGCCCTAAATGCATGAGCTTGTTGCATGGAACAGTATCCCTCTGTCACTTGAATGGAGTACAGTGAACTTTTCTCATATCTATGACCTTGGCATACTTCTTTAGCGGTCCTGGACCGGGACGACCATCAGTGACCAGGTAGCTGTATTGGAGCATTAGTTTACATATGTGTTTATTATATGACTGGTGCTAATTCCGAGTCCTGATTGGAGGAGTGAAATCATGTGACAAGTCTGTAAATCTGTTACAGACCTCGTTCTATGAATAGAAAAGTGTTAACATACCTCAACCTATAAATAGAAAAGTGTTATAGACCGCTACTAAAAATAGGCCTAGGTGATTTCCCATCTATCAATTAACAGACAATCAAACAATCATTCTATGAATAGAAAAGTGTTAAAGACCTCGACCTATTACACTTTGGCCTCGGTAAATATTGTTCAGACCATGTCTGTAAGTCAGGGATAGACCCCATAATTGCATATATATTTGTAAAAGGATCGGTTTTTCACTTCAAAACCAACACCCAGGTTTGGTGATCTTGGGTCCGTCAGGGTCTTGCAGTCCGATATGATTGAAGTTTGGCAATTCAAATACACACAGACACTGAAATATAAAATTCAGGTAGTTTATTAATATGACATGGAAATATCTATGCACAGGGACATGAGTTTAGACCATGCTGTCCCACACTGGAGCACACATACACACCAATAACATGGCTTTATTTCTAAGTGGTACAAGGCCTAACTGAATATATATACTTACGGCTACACGGCCATATGCCTATTGATTAGACGACGAAATGATATACTGACGGCTACACGGCCCTATGCCTTTTGAATAGACGACGAAATGATATACTGACGGCTACACGGCCCTATGCCTTTTGAATAGACGACGAAATGATATACTGACGGCTACACGGCCCTATGCCTATTAAATAGACGACGAAATGATATACTGACGGGTACACGGCCCTATGCCTATCAAAAAGACGACGACATGATATACTGACGGCTTCACGGCCCTATGCCTATTAAATAGACGACATGGTTCAAATCACGACTCTAAAACTCCTACAAAAATACTACATGATTTTTGAGAAACTACTACTAGAAATGTGACTGGTAAACTATCTACGCTAACATTATCCTATTGCGGTTTAGGGACCCTATACCTACAGCTACTCCTACAGTAGAAAAGAGGTGAGCCGAACCAGTCCTGTCAAGACTTTTATTCTAACTGCCGAGGCACACAGGTGTTCATGTACCGGCTTAAATACGTGCACGTGCAATAGTCGCGCCAAATTACTTGGAACATTTCCGCTGTTGACTCGAAGCATCCCTAGGTGGTGGAGATTCAAAATTGTACAAATGGTGGGGCTGACCCCCCCAGGGGGCTGAGGGTCGGGGCCAAAAAGAGTTATTTGGCTATATTGCTTTAAGCGACTTCTTCTCTGGAACTAAGAGATGGATATCAACCATATTTGACTGGAATCATCCCTAGGTGGTGGAGATTCAAAATTGTACAAACGGTTGGGCTGACCCCCAGGGGGCTGAGGGGTGGGGCCAAAAGGGGGCAATTTGGCTATATTGCAACAAACGACTTCTTCTATAGAACTAGGCACTGGATATCTATCATATTTAATCAAAACCATTCATGGGATGCAGGGATTCAAAATTGTACAAATGGTGTGGCTGACCCCCCCAGGGGGCTGAGGGTCGGGGCCAAAAAGAGTTATTTGGTTATATTGCTTTAAGCGACTTCTTCTCTGGAACTAAGAGATGGATATCAACCATATTTGACTGGAAGCATCCCTAGGTTGCGGAGATTCAAAATTATACAAATGGTGGGGCTGACCCCCCAGGGGGCTGAGGGCGGGGCCAAAAGGTGGCAATTTGGCTATATTGCTATAAACGACTTCTTCTGTAGAACTATGCCATGGATATCAATCATATTTGGTCAGAAGCATTCATGGGAGGCAGGGATTCAAAATTGTACAAATGGTTGGGCTGACCCCCTGGGCTAAGGGGTGGGGCCAAAAAAAGTGTATTACATGGAAATGGTTGAGATCTTCACCATATAACCATATATACAATTGCTGAGTATAAAGAGAAGAATGCACATTTGCTTCCAGGATGGCCCTAGGGTCTGGCCTCACCATTGGAGACATAGTCCATGGGCCATAACTTTAAAACGGTTGAGATCCCCACCCCAAAACTATATATACAAATGCTGGGCATAAAGAGACGAATGCATTCATGATATAAGAATAGACCCTGGGGTCTGACCGAACCCCTTGGGACCTAGTTTCTTAGTCACAGCATGGAAACAGTTGAGATCCCCACCCTATAACCATATATACAATTGCTGAGTATAAAGAGATGAATGCACATATGCTTCCAGGATGGCTTTGGGGACTGCCCCACCCTAGGAGACTTAACCCCTTGGTCATAACTTCGAAAAGGGTTAAGATCCCCACCCCAAAACTATATATACAATTGTTGGGCATAAAGAGACGAATGCAGTCATGATATTAGAATCGACCCAAGGGTCTGCCCCACCCTTGCAGACTTTACGCCTGGGTCATAACTTTGAAACGGTTGATATCCCCACCCCAAAACTATATATACAAATGCTGGGCAAAAAGAGACAAATGCAGTCGTGATATTAGAATTGATCCTAGGTCTGGCCACAACCCTAGGGACCTAGTTTCTGAGTCACAGCTTGGAAGCAGTTGAGATTCCCACCCCATAACCATACATAAAATTGCTGGGCTTGAAAAAACTAATACAGATATGCTACAAGTCTGGATTGGCCTTGGGGTCTGGCATATTCCCTTGGATCTCATTTGGAGAATATTTTGCCATGATTGCTTAGATATCCAGGTGAGCAATACAGGCCCTATGTGCCTCTTGTTTTCTTGAAAAGCTATGAAGCCCACATTGTCCACTTCATCATGTATAAGCTAATTTTGGTGCTGATTATTTAAATAGCCTGGTTGAAGGACCATGGTGAGCTTATGTCATACTGTAGCGTCCGTCTTCCGTTTGTCAACTTTTCCTTTAAACCGCTACTTGCCCTGAACGGCTCAGTAGATATTGACTAAAGTTGGTCTGGAGCATCTTTAGGCCAAGGGGACTCAATTTTGTATAAATGGTGGGTGTGGCCCCCTTTGGGGTAGAGGGGCGGGGCCCTATAAGGGAAATAGAGGTAAAACCTTTAAAATACTTCTTCCACCATAGGGATTAAAAGTTTTTATCCTAATTTAGTCTGGAGCATCCTTGGGCCAAGGGGACTCAATTTTGTTTAAACTGTGGGTGTGGCCCCCCTAGGGGCAGAGGGGTGGGGTCCTATAAGGGAAGTAGAGGTAAAACCTTTAAAACCTTCACCTACTGTAGAGATTGAGGGATTTTATACTAATTTAGTCTGAAGTATCCTTGGGCCAAGGGGACTCAATTTTGTATAAACAGTGGTTGAGGTCCCCCCTGGGGGCAGAGGGGCAGGGCACACAAGGGAAAATGGAGGTAAACCTCTAAAATCCTTCTTCTACCATAGGGATTAAAAGATTTTATCCTAATTTAGTCTGGAGCATCCTTGGGCCAAGGGGACTCAATTTTGTTTAAACTGTGGGTGTGGCCCTCCTAGGGGCAGAGGGGCAGGGCCCTATAGGGGAAATAGAGACCTCTAAAAACTTTAAAATCCTTCTTCTAATGTAGGGATTAAGGGATTTTATCCTAATTTAATCTGGAGCATCCTTGGGCCAAGGGGACTCATTTTGTATAAACAGTGAGTGTGGCCCCCCTGGGGGCAGAGGGGCGGGGCCCAATAGGGGAAACATATCAAATTCTTCAAAATCCTTCTTCATCTGTAGGATGACAGGATTTTGTCCAAATTTGGTATGAGGCACTCTTGGATGAAGGGGAACAAGTTCTATATTAATGGTGGGTCTGACCCCCCTAGGGGCAGAAACGCGGGGCCCAATAAGGGATGTAGAGGAATAGCTTTAATATTCCTTTTCTTCCGTTGGGATGAAAGTATTTTGACCAAATTTTAACAGCATTCTATGGCGAAGGTAAATTAATTTTGTATAAATGGTTGGTAGGACCGCCTGGGGGCAGAGGGGCAGGGCCTAATAAGGGAAACAGCAAATTCTTCAAAATCCTTCTTCTTCTGTAGGAATGACAGGATTTTGTCCAAATTTGATATGAAGCACCATTGGATGAAGGGGAACAAGTTCTATATAAATGGTGGGTCTGACCCCCTAGGGGCAGAGAGGCGGGACCCAATAAGGGATATAGAGGAATAGCTTTAATATCCTTTTTCTGCCGTTGAGATGAAAGTATTTCAACAAAATTTTGATAGTAGCATCCTTTTGGGAAGGTTAATTAATTTTGTATAAATGGTGAGTCTGACCCCCTGGGGGCAGAGGGGCAGGGCCCAATAAGGGAAACATAGCAAATTTGCAAAATCTTTCTTCTTCTGTATAAATGACAGGATTTTGTCCAAATTTGATATGAAGTACCCTTCACCCAAGGGAGAGGGGCGGGTCCCAATAGTGGAAACAAAGCAAATTCTTCAAAATCCTTCTTTTCCTGTAGGAATGTCAGGATTTTGTCCAACTGCATATAAATTTAACCCCTGACTAACCATGTTATAGATTACACTACGTATACCAGCAACATCTGGCTATTCAACTTCAATTTTGCTAACATTTCCAGGTGAGCGATACAGGCCCTCTGTTGTTTTCAGTTTTGATCACAGGGGCTATTCATTAAACAAATATATCACCCATGGCCACCATTCTCTATTGTACACTGAAGACTATTGTACATGTGGGACTATGTCTTTGGGTGACGTCATATCTTAAAAACAGTTTTCAGAGAAATTTGATATTCATACAAATTTTCTCACTTTTCAAGGTGTCATTAATTCCATAAAGAAATCCATTTCACATGAGGATGTTTCTAATTGAATGTAGATTATCCATATATCCCAATTAATTTGGAATTTTTTCTTAAACACAAAAAAGGAACTAAAGACTTTTACCATGTTCTATGCCAAGATAATACAATATCTACCGGTAGAAAGAAGTGGGAGGAAATATTTGAATTTAACACAGAGATATGGAAGAAAATCTATACCATTCCCTTCAAAATTAGTAAAAACACAAAACTACAGTGGCTTCAATTTAGAATCAATCAACAGATTTTAACTACTAATTCATATCTTTATAAAATAGGTCTTGTTAATAGTCCATATTGTTTTCATTGTAAAACTGACACAGAAACTATAGTTCATGCATTATGGGAATGTAAAGAAGTACAAGTGTTTTTAACAGATTTTGAATCATTGCTAGATGTGTTATTAATTCCATTTGCTTTTAATAAAGAATCTTTTATCTTTGGTTTCTATGATAGAAAAAACAATGTTGATAATTTAGTACTTCTTATCATTAAACTATATATTTATAAAGCTAGATGTCTGCAAACTGGTCTATCAGTTTTAGCTTTGAAAAACTTAATTAAAGATATTTACAATACTCAAAAATACATTGCTGTAGGTAATGGTGAAAATTATCTCACTAATTTTAAAAGGGAATGGAAAAAATGGGAAAGATTACTGCAGGCCATATAAATGAAATGTAAATTAATTATAATAATATAGTACCAATGTAATTCCTGTTAAATGTAGCCTATGTACAAAAATTTACACAATATTGAACAATAAGCCCTTGTCAAATCCTCAGACACCTCTCCAACCTTCCTTTTCTTTCATGTCCCTCTCTCTCTTCATTACTCTTTTCTTTCCTATATCTTCTTCTAAAACAGTACAATGGTACATAACACCCAATATCCTGATTTCAACATGTGAAAATAGCCAAACTGTTTTTTTTTCTTTTTTTTTTTGTATTTGTTTGCTTCTCAACTACAATGCATACAATATTATTCTATGTATCTTGTTTCAAACTTACAAAGAAAATAATTGTTTTTCTACATTGGTACCCAAATCGATGTTATAATATAAGAATGTTAAAAAAATGTCAAGACAAACAAAAAACTTATGTGAAAATTAAGAATGTGAGACTGAAATATGATGTGTTATGTTTAATGTACTGTTGAAAAAATTCAAAAAAATAAAAATAAAATATAAAAAAAAATAAAAAAATATCTTAAAAACAGTTTAGATCATGCATATTTAATTTGTTTGATGACCCAACAAGCATGCTGCATGATCTAGCCTCAGGATTTGGCTATGCCCCTGGAGACTTAATCACTCTGTCATAATTACAACGTAGAAACCATTGAGATTCCAATTATTTTATTACATGTACATGTATATAGATATATTACGGGTCGCTGTGCATGTGTATATCTTGAATGCATAATTATCAATCATAAGTTAACATATTATGGGCAAATGAATGCCACATTTTGTGAGGTTGATGATAATTATGTCTGAATTAAGCATAATGTATATCAGAATTTGTTCTATGATATTAAAAAAATGCTGTTTTACATCATTGGATTTAACTTTTTGTATGTTTCAGAATCCATCAGACGATTTATACCTTTCTTCACCGTACATGGAACTTAAACTTTCATTACCAACTGCATTTGGTGATATAGACATCAAATTCTTCCTTTCCAACTGACTTTGCAATATATGCAATAAAGATATGGAATCATACGAGATTTTGTTTGAGACCAAAGAAGACTGTTCTATTGTAACACATATGGAGGACAAACCGTACAAGTGTGATGTGTGTGGTAAAGAATTTAGTTGTGCATATAAGCTACAGAAGCATTATAGGACACACACAGGAGAAAACCCCTACAAGTGCACCGTGTGTGGTAAGGACTTCAGTTATGCATCTGACCTACGGAGACATAGTATGATACACACGGGAGAGAAGCCTTACACGTGTGATTACTGCGGTAAGGGATTTAATTATTCGTCTAACTTAAATAACCACATCCGGACACACACAGGAGAGAAGCCGTACACATGTGACGTATGTGGTAAAGGATTCTGTCAGTTATCGGGTCTACAGGTGCATTTCAGGACACACACAGGAGAGAAGCCTTACAAGTGTGAAATCTGTTGCAAGGAGTTCTGTAAGTCGTGTAATCTGAAGTCACATCTCGGGACACATACTGGAGATCTAGACAATCCTTACAAGTGTGATGTCTGCGGCAAGAACTTCAGGGTTTTATCTTTGCTACAGAGACATTTCAGGACACACACGGGCGAAAAACCGTACAAGTGTGATGTGTGCGATAAAAGATTCGGTGATTCCTCGCACTTATATGCTCATCAGAAGACACACACCGGAGATAAACCATACAAGTGTGATATCTGTTGTAAGGGGTTCAGTAAAACGTTCAATCTACAGAGACATTTCCGGATACATACAGGAGAGAAACCATACAACTGCAATATCTGTGGAAAGGAGTTTAGTGATGCATCTTACCTACAGACACATCAAAGGGCCCACAAAGCAGACGATCCCTACAAATGTAGTACGTGTGATAAGAGCTTTATCAAAGCATCTGATCTACATACACATTTCAGGATACATACTTGAGACGGTCCATTCTACATCCTCGACACTCCAGGGTTTACACTCACGTATGTGTCTGCATCCCTGGAATATGTCGTTACAAAATCAAACGCTCAGTATGTACAACCTTGTGGATGAGACGAGAAGACTAGTTTAATCCTTTGATGTATATGAAAAGAATCTCTCGGTCGTGTAATTGTAAAATTTACTTTTTTTAAAGTCAGGTGTTAGCTTAGCTATTGGTCAGGTTTTGTTACCTACAGCCTGACACCAATTTAATAGCTAGCTCATTGCGTTCAATTTTGCTTTAACATATTCTAGGCGTGCATAAAGTGTAAGTAAGCGTAATCCCTAAGGTATCTAGATGTCCTTTCTGGTGCATTATCCGTAAGAGTTAAGTTTAGTGCTTCGTCATAGCTACAGATAGGCCAGAACACAAACATGAAAGAAAACTTAAAACTAGATGTCTTCAAAAGAATGCTAGTTAAGTTATTTTATTTTTATCTGGAAATTAATTGCAAGCTACATTTCGAAGACATTTAGACTTTATAGCAGGTTACATTCCGCAGAAAATCAGATTGATCTCTTCGAGTGTGATTCATGCAGTAAGCTGTCTGTAATCAACACATCTAAAAACACCTAC